CAAAGGCCAACTAAAGTTCCTGTTAGTCGGCATTGACTACTTCACAAAATGGATTGAGGCTGAAGCCTTAGCCAAGATTACTGCGGCCAATATCCAGAGATTTACGTGGAAGAAAATTATCTGTAGGTATGGCTTACCTCATGCTATAACCACTGATAATGGCAAGCAGTTTGTTGATAAAAATTTTGAGCGATTTTTGGAGCAACTCGGAATCAATCACAAAGTTACCTCGGTTGAACATCCACAAACCAACGGACAAGTTGAAGCAACCAACAAGGTTATTCTTAGAGAACTCAGGAAAAGGCTTGGCTCGGCAAAAGGAGAATGGGTGGACGAGCTCCCTGGTATTTTATGGGCCTATCATTGCACACCACAAACCACCACTCAAGAAACCCCATACAGATTGACTTATGGGTCCGATGCTATGATCCCGGTGGAGGTCGGGGAACCAAGTCATCGAAGATTAACCTTTGATGAAACTCAAAATGTGGAAGCCCTAACAACCGATCTCGACCTCATAGACGAAGCCAGAGAGTGCGCCCGAGTTCAAGAAGAGGCATGCAAACTCAGAGCATCTCGGAGATACAATTCCAAGCTTAAACCGAGATCGTTCCAAGAAGGAGACCTTGTTTGGAGAGCTGTCGGCGACGCTAGAAAAGACACATCAGCAGGGAAATTCGCGGCCAACTGGGAAGGTCCATTCCGTATCTTGGAATGTCTACAAAATGGTGCATACAGACTCATAAAGTTAAGTGGCAAAGTTATCCCAAGAACTTGGAATGCCACTCATCTGAAATTTTATTATAGCTGAAATGTTGTAAACCCAAGTATTGTACTCTTTTTCCTACTTCAGTCTTTTTTCCCAATAAAAAAGAAAGGGTTTTGGCTGAAAAGGTTTTAACGAGGCATGCCTGGTAGGTAGGAGAGATGTACTTGATATCCAATTTCATAATATACATCATACATTCTCTTTTCTCTTATCTTAGCTCTTTCCCAAAGATTAAGCCCACTATGTAATGGATGAGATCCACCGCGGAATCTGTGGCATGCATTCCGGAGCTCGGTCCATGGCTGCCAGAGTTATCCGAGCTGGGTACTACTGGCCAACTATGAGATCAGACTATAAGTCATATGTGCAAAAATGCAAAGCCTGCCAGGAGTTCGGCAATCTACACCAGTTACCTCCAACAACCCTACATTCGATGCAGTCAGCCTGGCCCTTTTCTTGGTGGGGGATGGATATCCTTGGTCCTTTTCCAGTAGCCAAAGGCCAACTAAAGTTCCTGTTAGTCGGCATTGACTACTTCACAAAATGGATTGAGGCTGAAGCCTTAGCCAAGATTACTGCGGCCAATATCCAGAGATTTACGTGGAAGAAAATTATCTGTAGGTATGGCTTACCTCATGCTATAACCACTGATAATGGCAAGCAGTTTGTTGATAAAAATTTTGAGCGATTTTTGGAGCAACTCGGAATCAATCACAAAGTTACCTCGGTTGAACATCCACAAACCAACGGACAAGTTGAAGCAACCAACAAGGTTATTCTTAGAGAACTCAGGAAAAGGCTTGGCTCGGCAAAAGGAGAATGGGTGGACGAGCTCCCTGGTATTTTATGGGCCTATCATTGCACACCACAAACCACCACTCAAGAAACCCCATACAGATTGACTTATGGGTCCGATGCTATGATCCCGGTGGAGGTCGGGGAACCAAGTCATCGAAGATTAACCTTTGATGAAACTCAAAATGTGGAAGCCCTAACAACCGATCTCGACCTCATAGACGAAGCCAGAGAGTGCGCCCGAGTTCAAGAAGAGGCATGCAAACTCAGAGCATCTCGGAGATACAATTCCAAGCTTAAACCGAGATCGTTCCAAGAAGGAGACCTTGTTTGGAGAGCTGTCGGCGACGCTAGAAAAGACACATCAGCAGGGAAATTCGCGGCCAACTGGGAAGGTCCATTCCGTATCTTGGAATGTCTACAAAATGGTGCATACAGACTCATAAAGTTAAGTGGCAAAGTTATCCCAAGAACTTGGAATGCCACTCATCTGAAATTTTATTATAGCTGAAATGTTGTAAACCCAAGTATTGTACTCTTTTTCCTACTTCAGTCTTTTTTCCCAATAAAAAAGAAAGGGTTTTGGCTGAAAAGGTTTTAACGAGGCATGCCTGGTAGGTAGGAGAGATGTACTTGATATCCAATTTCATAATATACATCATACATTCTCTTTTCTCTTATCTTAGCTCTTTCCCCCAACATGAAATGTCTCAAAGACTCATCATCTTGTTGTCGCAAATTTGAAAGCGCGGCCGATGTGATATGGTGTGGTCTGCTGGTGGCGTACTGGGCGGAGAAAAGTCGTACCAAGGTGTTGAAGTTATCAACCGATCTGGGTGGTAGTTGGGTGTATCAACTAAGGGCAGTGCCTTTGAGGGAAGTTAGAAATACTCGGCACATGATGGCATCGTCGTTCGTGTAAAGGTTGATTTGAGTGATATAGGCATCGATGTGCTCATCGGGGTCTGTAGTGCCATCATAGCGCTCAATGTTCAACGACTTCCAGGAAGTTGGAAGGGGAACTTCCATGATTCCATCAACAAAGGGGTGTCGACAAACCGAGTGGTGATCTTCAACCGGACGACTGATATGGGTATGTTCGGAGCGATGAGTCCGAGTTGGGTTTGATGGCTAAGTAGGATCTGGGGAAGAATGATGTTCTTCGGAGGCAGGGGAAACATGACTGGCATGATGTGTGCGTGGTGGCTGATGTTGCTGCCATTGGGTTCTGAAAACAGCATGCTCAGCACGCATTTGCTGAAGATCAGCTTCGTGTTGCTTGCGAAGGTTCTCCATTGCTTCTGCATGTTGTTGACGCATCAGTTCTATCTGCTCGAGTAACCGTTGTAGGACTGGGTTGTCTTCCATATTTGATGTTTTTCTATGTGCTGTGCTCGTTGCTGTGTTGGTTTGGCTTCGGGTTGAAACCATAAGGATGACGGAGGGAGGATTTTACCAGGCCCTCCTTCTAGCGCCAAATGTACTTACACGAATCAGGTTGGACTCCTAACTCGGATAAGTGGTCTCCCTGGTTCCTGGCCGGGATCGTACGAAAGCGGTCGCTGGGGTGTGTCTCTTCTCTTTCTCTGATCTCCTCGTCTGAGCGTCTTCGAGGTACCTGCCAAAGGGACTCCGAAGATCAAGTTAGTTGTGTATCCAATATCGCGTACTGCTTATATCATTACCTATCGTGGGTCTTTCGAGTAACCGTGTGAACTGCTATATGGTTATTTTTTGAGGGTTCTCCTTGGTTGAGTCGTGTTCGATGTTGTTGATATGCCGAGGTGTATCACTGATCTCATTCTTCTGATGTGGCACCTCAGCATTGGATATATTTACTTTAGTCGAACTAAATTAGGTGGTCATCTCGGTCAAGGTTGTTTTATGAACTCGGTTTAGCTCGGCCTTGAGTCAGGTTGGTACACAAACTCGGTTGAGCTCGGCCTGAGCCAGGTTGATACATTATTATTATTATTTACCTAGAATTTTATACAATGAAATTAAATATGTGAATCCTTTTACCTTGCATATGTACTTTTAATTTTTAACAAACACCATTTTTCTTATTATATTATATTGAAACGATTAGTGGTAGAAGGGTGTCCCATATCACATAAAACATGATGGTTCAATTATTAAGCCTTTAACCTTTTTAGAACTCATTAGATTAAATCTCATCTCAACCAAAATTTATTTTATTGTACTGAATTTTCATATAGGTGTAAAACAAATACAAAATGATCTTCAATTATATTTATTTTATTTTGTAATTAATATCTATTTTGTTTTATATTTTTTTTATAAAAAAAATTAGGTTAAAATACATTTTTAGTCTATATAATTTCACTTACTTTATTTTTTAATTCCTATAATTTAAAATAAACATTCTTAGTCCTATACTTATTTTTTTATTCCTTTTTAAGTCCTATCCTTAATCACTTTATAATGTCATTTTCGTGTGAGTGATGTTAATTTATTAAATTCACGTGACTGTGATGTATTTGAATTTTTGGATGATGATGTGTCACCTAATGATTTACTATACAGTCATCAATGATTTGACTGTTTATTTAAATCATATTCAGTCATAATAAATATTGTTTATCTACAAAACCATCCAAACTCTTCATTCTTCTCCCACACAATTAAGTGTGTGTTGGTATAAATCTTCACCCAAACTTGAACGTATGTTTCCCTGAAGATAGTACATAGTTGCTTCTTTCTTTTTTGCATGGAAAAGTGAGAATGCCTGTTTGAAGCATCTCAAACGGCAATTCAAACATACTCTAAGTGACACATTACCATTCATAAAACTAAAGTCATCAACGCTAGATGAATTTAATAAGTCCACGTCATTTACATGGAAATGATGTTAAAAAAAATTAACAACAATAACTAAACAAGATTAACAAAATGTAAGTATAGAGATTAAAAAATATATTTTTAATTATAAGAACTAAAAAATAAAATCAATAAAATTATAAGGAATAAAATGATATTTTAACCAAAAATTTATTTATAAAATTAATGTCATTAGGTGTCACATAACATAATGGATAATCATGAATTAATATTATAACTTCATAAATGTTAACTTATTGATCATTCCATCAAATGTCAACTTAATGAGATAATTTGAATTTTGTATGGCAAAATTAAGAGATTAAATATTTTAATTTTAAATTAAAGAAATTAAAGTTAAATATTTTAATTTTGATCCAATTTTTAGGAAAACAGAGAAGCAAAATTTTTCTTAACACTCTTTTAACTCCTCTCTAATACTAGAGATTTGGAAAAGAAAAGAAATTTTTTAAAATATTTTTAATATAATATTTAAAATATTTTTATTTATATTATTAAATTTAAAATTATACAAATATAAAAATAAATAAATTTTAAAAATCTCTCTTCTTATCTCCAAACCAAACAAGGCCTCTCTTCCCTTCTCTCTCCTCCATTAAGATCCTTTTGACTCCTCGAGTAGTTTGAACCAAGCGGAACCTCAGAGTATCTGACACGGTAAGTAAGTGAGAAAATGTGAACAGATACTCTGCAGTTTGCTGTTGACCAGGTACTCCAATCTCTATCCTATTCCAACCAGATTCACATTACTGTTTTGGTAGGTAGCTAGTTTTCTAAGCTTCGTTTCTACAGTGTGCTATCTAAGCTCCCTCCATCTTCTCCTTTTACTCAATAATATGTCCAAGTTAGGGCTGGACTTGGAAAGTTTTCTCAATAGACTTTGTCAAGAGTTTCAATAACTCGGATGTTATGCTGAAAATTAGACTGTGGATCATTTTCATTTTGTTTAGTTTAGGTAAAGCTTCCTTGTGTAAGTTTAGGGTGTCAGTTTGTTTTGTTTGAATTGCAAGTTTTTGATTCAGTTTTGTTCTCTTATGTGTTGCTTTTGGATTCATATAGAAGGGGTTTGAGGGGTGAACCTGTTGATTGTAAAGTGACTCATGGCAGCAGGGGTAGTTGGTGGGGCATTTCTCTCGGCCTCCCTTCAAGTGACTTTTGACAGGTTGGCTTCAAGAGACATCTTAAACTACTTCCATGGAAGGAAACTCAAAGATGAGATGCTCAAAAAGCTAGGAATTGCATTGAACTCTATCAACCAAGTGTTGGAGGATGCAGAGGAAAGGCAGTATAGAAGCCCTAATGTGATGAAATGGCTTGATGAGCTTAAAGAGGCTATATATGAGGCAGAGTTGCTTTTTGATGAAGTTGCTACCGAAGCATTGCGACTGAAGCTGGAAGCTCAATTTCAGCCTGCTACTAGCAAGGTGCGAGGATTCCTCACAGCTTTTATTAATCCATTTGACAAAGAAATTGCATCTAGGGTTAAAGAAGTATTAGAGAACATAAAATATTTGGCTGAACAAACGGATATGCTAGGATTGAGAAAGGGAACTTGTGCTGGCCATGAAGTTGGATCCAGTTGGAAACTCTCCAACAGATTGCCAACTACATCCTTGGTGGATGAATCTAGCATATGTGGTAGAGAGGGTGATAAAGAGAAAATAATCAAAATTTTAGTTTCAGATAATGTCACATGCAATCAAGTGCCAATTATTAGTATAGTGGGCTTGGGAGGGATCGGTAAGACCACCCTTGCTCAGCTTGTGTATAATGACCAAAAGATACTGGACCAATTTGACCTTAAAGCTTGGGTCTATGTTTCACAAGATTTTGATGTTGTTGCTGTCACAAAAGCAATTCTAAAGGCACTTGGGTCATTATCTGAGGAAGAAAGAGACTTGAATTTGCTTCAAATTGAACTGAAGCAGAGGCTGATGGGGAAGAAATTTTTGCTTGTTTTAGATGATGTTTGGAATGAAAACTATTCGAGTTGGGAGGCACTACAAATCCCCTTCATTTTTGGATCTTCAGGAAGTAGGATTCTTGTTACCACACGTACTAAGAAGGTAGCATCAGTCATGAACTCCTCCCAATTACTTCATTTAAAGCCATTGGAGAAAGAATATAGTTGGAAGCTGTTTGCTAATTTTGCATTTCATGACAAGGATACCAGAAAATATCCAAATCTTGTATCAGTTGGCAGTAAAATTGTGGAGAAGTGTGGAGGATTGCCTTTAGCTATAAGAACATTGGGAAATATCTTGCGAGCAAAATTTTCCCATTACGAATGGGTTAAGATATTGGAAAGTGATATATGGCACTTACCAGAGAATGATAGCAGTATTAATCCCGCTTTGAGATTGAGTTACCACAATCTTCCTTCCTATCTGAAGCGCTGTTTTGCTTATAGCTCCATATTTCCAAAAGGTTATGAGTTTGATAGCGATCAGTTAATCAAGTTGTGGATGGCAGAAGGTTTCTTGAGTTGCTGCCAAATAAGCAAGAGTGAAGAAGAGTTAGGTAGTGAGTTCTTTAATGAACTAGTGGCAAGGTCATTTTTCCAACAATCAAGACGCCATGGTTCTCGCTTCACTATGCATGATCTTCTTAATGACTTGGCAAAATCTGTGTCAGGAGATTTTTGTTTACAAATTGAGGGTAATTTGGTGCAAGATATACCTAATAGAACGCTTCATATTTCATGCGCTCACAAATTTAACCTTGATATATTTTTGGAGCATATTTGCAAGTGTAACAGATTGCGTTGTCTTATGGCACTTGAATCATGTGAATTTGGCAGGGGAGACTTGATGAACAGCAATGCACAACGTGTTTTGTTTTCTAGAATTAAATATTTGTGTGTGTTATCCTTCAACAATTGTCTTCTCACAGAGTTAGTTGATGAGATAAGCAATTTAAAGCTTTTGCGCTATCTAGACCTTTCAAACACCAAGATTAAAAAGTTGCCTGACTCCATTTGTATGCTGCATAATTTGCAGACACTATTACTAGAATGGTGCTATCATTTGACAGAGCTCCCCTTAGATTTTCACAAACTTGTTAATTTGCGTCATCTTGATGTGCGTATGAGTGGAATAAATAAAATGCCAAAGCACATAGGAGGGCTGATACATCTTAAAACCCTGACTTGTTTTTACATCAGCAAGCTTAGTGGGTTTGATATTAAGGAGTTGGGGAATCTCAACCATCTTCAAGGAACACTCTCAGTGTTGAAGTTAGAAAATGTCACTGATCCTGCAGATGCCATGGAGGCTAATATGAATGATAAAAAGCATTTAGAAGAATTGGTGTTGAATTGGGGTGACAAATTTGGAAGGTGCAATGAAAATGAAGACTCAATAACGGAAAGGCATGTGTTGGAGGCTCTTCAACCAAATGGGAACTTGAAAAGGCTTACTGTTTTACGTTATGATGGAACTAGCTTTCCAAGTTGGTTTGGTGGATCTCATTTACCCAATTTAACATCCATTTCATTGACTAAAAGTAAATTCTGTTTTATGTTGCCACCATTTGGGAAGCTCCCCTCTCTGAAGGAGCTCTCTATTTCATGCTTTTACTCAGTAGAGGTCATTGGTCCGGAGTTTTATGGTAAAGATTCCTCAAATACTCCATTCAAATCTCTTGAAATTCTGAAGTTCGAGGAAATGAGTGCATGGAAAGAATGGTGCAGTTTTGAAGGTGAGGGTTTGTCTTGTCTTAAAGAGCTTTCCATAAAGCGCTGTCCTTGGTTGAGAAGGGCCCTGCCTCAACACCTTCCTTGTTTGCAGAAATTGGAAATTTGTGAGTGCCAACACTTAGAGGATTCACTTCCTGAGGCTGCAGGTATTCATGAGCTAGTGTTGCGTGGATGTGAGAAGTTTTTGCTGAAAGATTTGTCATCCAGCTTGAAAAAGGCCACAATTTGTGGAACTCGTGTCATTGAGTCCTCCCTCGAGCAAATTCTGCTCCTTAATGCCTTTCTTGAAGAGTTGAAATTACATGACTTCGATGGTCCAAATCTAAAATTGTCCTCTTTGGATATGCATAGACAAGATTCTCTTAGCACTCTTACTATAACAAGCTGGTACTCCTCCTCGTTGCCTTTTGCACTAGACATGTTTGCCAATCTTCATTCTCTACATTTCTATGATTGTCCACAGCTTGAGTCATTTCCAGAGGGGGGTTTGCCTTCAAGCCTGTGCAAACTCGAAATTGAGGATTGCCCCAAACTGGTTGCATCTAGGGAGGAGTGGGGATTGTTCAAACTTCATTCTTTGAAAGAGTTGAGGATTAGTGATGACTTTGAAAATGTGGAGTCTTTCCCAGAGGAGGGGTTGCTACCACCCACTCTCAGTGATCTATATTTAATTGGATGTTCAAAGCTAACAACAACAAAGTTTTCTCCACCTCAAATCTCTCAAATCCTTCTATATTCTAATATGCCCTCGTCTTGAGTGCTTGCCAGAAGAAGATTTTCCAAACTCTCTTTCTGCTTTGTTCATTCTTAGTTGCCCTTTACTTGAGCAGCGGTACCAAAAGGGTGGAGAGCATTGGCATAAAATTCACCACATCCCTTCTGTGATGATTAACAGCTGAAACATGCAGCACATTCATCCGTTTGTTGATATCCACTTTTTTGGCAAACATTTGCGAGTTCCTTTTGGTGGAGATGAAAAATATATCTCTCCTACCATAATATATCATGATGGGATTTCTTGTCTGTTCTTAATTTACAGATGCATATTATATATTAGAGGAACCATTATGGGTTATAGCTTTTTGTCTTCATAAGTGACCGTGAAATCTTTCAAACTCAACCTAGAGGAACCATGCCTCAGTATCTTTCAACTATTGTGGTTTATTTGGTAAAAAAATAGAATCTATTATCTATTATAAAATAGTAAATATGAAGCGTGGGATATGACGTCATGTACTTTATAAACAATTTTATCACATGAACAAAACTTCTTACATGTTATTTTAAGTCTTAGTATTTTTATATCTTAATTTTAATTTCTTTTACTTAATATTAGAGAAGTTGAGATATTTCCTTATTTCTAATAGTTATACAGGCATTTATATTATATATATATATATAGAGGAGAGTTCAAATGATACCGGTGTAACTTTTACTAAGTGTTACACCGTTCAATAATTTTATATTAAATGTAAATTTTGAAAATCCAACCGTTAGATTGAATGTTCATATCTCTTAGATCATATATATCAAATTTTATATTAATCTAAGATGATTTGATACTTCATTCTCATAAAATAAAATTGACGTAATATATACATTTCAAAATATACTAAAATATGAACATTTTGATTACCTTATTTGACATATATGATCTAAGAGATATGAACTTTCAATCTAACGGTTAGATTTTTAAAATTCACATTTAATATAAAATTATTAAGCGGTGTAATACTTAGTAAAAATTACACCGATGTCGTTTAAACCCTTCTTATATATATATATATATATATATATATATATATATATTTTATCTTCATAAGATACATTAAATAAATAAAAAATTATACTCGAACAATTCAAATTATATATATATATATATATATATATATTTAATTTATCCTCAATCTATAGGGAGTTATTGTATTTCAAAAAATGGAGATGATAATGGTTATTTAAAAAAATATTTTCGTTATTAATATTTATTGATTAAATACATATTACTCATATAATTACATTGTTAACATAATCTATTTATTTTTTATAATATAATATATGACTTGTAATTTACATGTCTATATCTTATTCTTCTCCGGTCACGTATCTTCTCACCAACCCATATCTATAAGTAACTTTCATATATGCAATTAGTGTCTTTACAACTCATCGGCCACTAATTAAGAAACCAAATGAATTGTTCACCAATAGCTAAAATTTGATAACTCTCATTTTTGCAATTTGTGTTATTAATTTTTTTTTTGGGTAATGTAAGGTAAGATAAAGAAAAGAAAACAATGGAAAAATTACAAGTGTACGTAAGACATCGTACTTGCATCAAGTAGTAGCAAGTGGTGCAACTCAATAGATGGCATTAGAGATGGTAAAAATACCCGTACATGCAGGTATGAACGGGTAAAACTACCCTCAACATCAGCTAGTATCCGTCATTAAAGATAGAGCATCAGTAGAATCTGAATAGCAAACCACATGTGCAAATCTTTTCCTCCAAGAAATTTCGAAACCTCCAAGTAAAGTAAGAAGCTCGACTCGAGTATTATCTAAAATGCTAATATCACCAACAAAACCCCTTATCCATCTAGCCTCAACGTCTCGAAAAAGCCCACCAACACTAGTCGGACTCAGATGGCCCAAAGACTACACATAAAGCATAAAGCAAGTCACCTTCCTCTCAACTTACACATGCATGTCCCTACAACAAGGAATGAGATGCGGCATGCTTCATGGCAACATGCAACGAGTGAATATGCTGCAACACATTCCACATATCGGTCTCTTTGGAGTTGAAAATATTGTCATTACGAGTCTTCCAAAGAACCTAGCAAGCAATGAAAGGTAGAATTCCGAACTTGACAAAGCACTTTGTTAACCAATTGAGCCACTCCCCATTTGCTGGTTCCCTAATAGTAGATAGGCCTAGCCTTCTCCAAAACTGAGGTGCAAACTTGCATTTGAACAAAACATGTGTAGTGTTCCCCCCCTCTATCCCCATACCTTGGGCAAAGATCGCTACTACTCACATGATAATAGGCAAGAAACACCTACTAATAAGGAGTGCGTTTTGCCCCAATTGCCAGACAAAGAACACAATGGGTTCTACAAGAGGGAGTTTCCAAACCCACCTTGAAGAGATGACCTCCCTACCAATAGTATCCTTTTGTAGCAATAGTATCCCGCCCTGGTAGAATACACTTCAGACATGTCAACTTGCCAAGGTACAACATCTACAATAGAGTCATGGAGCTAGATATTGAGGTTTTCTAGCTTGGAAACCACTTCCTGTGAAACCAAAAACTACTCTCCCCATTACCATGTCTGAGTTGAAACCCATCATGAAGTCTCTCGAATGCCTTGCTCATTGACCTCAAGAAATAAGAGACACTACAATCCAATAGGGATGCCACATCCAACCCACGATATCTTGCTAAATTAACCTCCACCCAAAGTTTGTGAGAGCCATTTAATAGATTCCATATCAACTAACCTATAGGATAGAAGTATTTTTATCACAAGCAATCTTCAAACCAAGCCCTTCATGATTTTGATGTTGGGTAATCGTATCCTAATCAACGAAGTGCAAGTTCCTCTTCACTTCCCCACTCTAAATGAAACACTGGGTAAACTCATGAAGCTTATCACAAATGGCTTGAGGTAGCTACTAATACTACTAGAATTTCTCTTATTACATGCGACTTTTCTTGCGAATTTTTTATAAAAATTCGCAAGAAATGTTATTTCTACAAATTTTTCTACAAAATTTTATCTACAGGTACTACCTTCGTGAATAATATTTTTTGCAAATTTTAAAATTCGTAAGAAATTTTCCTGCGAAATTTCTTGCGAAAAAAATTCGCAAGTTTCCTACGAATTTTTTCGCAAGAAATTCTGCAGGAATATTTTTTACGAAAAAAATTAAAGAAATTACTATAAATTCTATCAATAATTCTTCAACTTTCAAATACTCACAATGAATTCATCCGAAATATTTGTTTCCATGTCTCCAACATGTGATACATAATCTTTTAAATTCTAAGAATGTAGATTATAAGCTTAATACTCAACCATACAAATTAACTTGTAAGGTAAGTGTTGTCCCTAACTTATATATTCTTTAATTGTTTTGTTTTCAATCTGTGGGACTTGAAGTTTTTTTTAAAATATTAAACTTATAAATTTAAATATTTTTTTTGACTTTTCTTGCGGATTAAAATTGGCAGGAAAATCCGCAGGAAAAGTTACCTACAAAATTTTTCTACCATTAGTAAACATTACTTGCGAATTTATTTTTGTAAGAAAATCTACAAGAAACAAAATAAAATTCTTACAATATTTCTTGCAAATTTTTATCATGGAAAAAAAATTTCTATGATCATTAAAATTGTAGCAAAATTTGCAAAAATTTCTTGTAGATTATTTTTCGTAAAAGGATTTGTAAGAAATATTTGTAAATTTTCGCAAATAAATTCATAAAAAAAAATTGTGAAATTATTATTACAAGCAAAAATTTTTTGCGAATATTTTATTTTCAGGAAAATGACACTTTTCTAGTAATGTAAGTTTACATGCAATAAGTTGGAATTGAAGCCAACATTGAGCTCAAAAGTGTGACTCGACCAAACCTATTAAGCATCCTCCTCCTCTAAGTTGTTAATCTGGTTTAGACCTTTTCCACCACCTCTACAAAAAAGGTTATTAATGATAGAACCCTGCACCATCTAAAAGCCTAGGTTTTACCAAGCTTATTCCTACTCCTGATATGTGTGACACCCTCTACCCCGCATACCATAACACATAATAATAAAAATTTGGAATACCACAGTCTTTCATTTTTAAAATACCAAACATGTTTAGATAGAGAGCACCACATTCATAACTTAAACAAATAACATAATCAGTGGTAATTATAAAAGAAATAAGGTTAAGGTTTTCAAAATAATTTAACAGAAACAACATCCTAATTTAATCCTATCTACGCCCCGATGTCACATTTTCTATTAGAGCAAATCCCAATATAGAAGCCTAAGCTTCATCATCAACATCCTCAGCCTCATGCTCATAATCACCTGTATGACAGTCAAAGAAAACAACACAAGAAAAAAAGGAGTGAGAAACATCTCACTTTGACTCACAGTGTAGAAATATACGCCGGATAGCCAAACACAAACAAGACAGGTATAACATAGATAAATTAATAATAACATCACATCTCACTCATCCAAGACATATCAATTTTTCATATAACATTAAAATGCACATGTATGGACACAAACTACATTTTATCATGCATGTGGCGCCAGTAAAACATCACATGGCATATTGCCGCTAGCAATACACGAAGAGTAGTTTAGGAGTACATGTCGGGTCACACTCTCTACGCACTCTCACTAGAAGGACATACTACTAGAGTCTCGTCGGGATAGCTAAGCCGTGCAAGATACATCCCATGCACACAATGGGCGAGATTGGGACTGCTATCCCCAAGGACTAATCTCCAAAGCTTTTACACTAGGGAGTTTTCTCTGGCAGTGTATTCCATATCGTACCCTTAAAAACATTTATGCACATGATGCATGTCAATCAAGACTTTATGCATTCTCATATCACATTATTATCATCACATCTCATCATCACATCTCATCATCACATTTCATCATCACATTTCATCATCATATTCCATCATCATATTTCATCATCATATCTCATCATCATATTCACATTATCATATTATATTCACAATTCTCACAAAGCACTTTAATCCATATTAAAACTCATTTATTTGCGAAATTAAACACATATTTACACTCTGCAAACATTAAGGAACACAACGGAAAACTCAAAACGTAAAACAGAAAACATTTAAAATTTGCCTATTTCTCATAGGGTTCCCACAGAACCCATAGAGCACTCTAATTCATATCAAAATTTGTTTATTTTCAAAAATAAACACATATTTAGACATCTCATTCAACAAGGAATAGATTAGAACAATCAGAAAATAAAACAGAAAACATTCATATTTTGCCTGTTTCTCATAGGGTTCTCACAGGAACCCACAGAACACTGTAATTCATACAATAAACATTTAAAACAATACAATTAACTCATACAATTACCTCTTCAAACCATCTCCTCTTACAATCACCAATGCATTCCCTTAGGGTTTCCCATAGGAACCCATAAAGATCTTAGATCATACAATTAATTACATATAAGAAAAACAATACGCAAAATAGATACAATTGGGAAAAAATCCCTCATACATG